CAACTTTGGGGTTGCAAAGCGCCAAGCCACTCCCCCCCAGTCACATGGCCGGCAAGCCACTCCCACAAAGCAGGCCACACCTACAAGAGGTTCTAAATTTTTTTGAAACCCACCACTGGCAGACCACTAAGCAATCTGTGCCAAATAAAAGCAGCTCTAAAACGAGATGAATATAGAGAAAAACAGCTAGAAAAAAACATCTCCTGGAATGTGGCTTACAGGTCAGAGTTTGGCAACTGGACTTGCCTATTCCTCATTCCATAGACTTATCATCATTATAAAAAGGTTCCTATTTACATACCGGGGGAAAGCGTGCACGCACACACACACATACCAGCAGCTCAAAATTAATGTTTCTAAGTAAATTGTACTTGGCCCATTTCAATAAAACATGACTACAGTAGTCACGGTTTTGAAAAAACTCAGAGGGACAGAGTGGGAAGGCTTAACAAATTATTTTCTTGGCAAAACCATATTAAGTAGTATTTACATGTTACTGGGAGCAGTATTTCCTCCACTACCAGTTTGGTACCATTTAATATTTTCTGCTTAGGAGTGAAAGGCAACCTGCAATCTCTGTGTCCTGTATAACATATAATAATTAATGCTAGGCTAAATATCAAAAGTTCACGATAAACTGTAAATGGATCTGAATTGCTGCATGGCTGTAGTGAAATACAATCCTAATAAGAGAATAGAAAGAGCTGCCAATTTTGTCTATTGTTAAGATCCCACAGATGAAGGAGGCCATCTTGTTAGAAAAATAGATTAAAGATGACAAGCAGTTTATACATTTAGTTATTGATTTGTTATAATTCAAATGCAACTCTCGGGCCATTTTGTGAAGAACAAAAATGGTACCAACAGTGCAGTGGTGGGTTTCAAAAAAATTTGGAACCTCTTCTGTAGGTGTGGCCTGCTTTCCGGGTCCACTGGTGGAACCTTTTCTAACCGGTTCTGTAGATTTGACAAACCGGTTCTACTGAATAGGTGCAAACTGGTAGGAACCCACCTCTGCAACAGTGTAAACCATGTTGCAGCTATAGAGATTCCTATGAAATGAAACTGAAAATCATTTCCCTTTGAGACTTGGCCTCTTGGTGTTTTTCCACCAAACTTTGATTTCAGTAGCCTATTAGATGGTATAATTGAAAGCATGGTATAATGGTATAGTTGTTCAGTCCAACATTGCTACTCAACTGATGGCAAATGGAAGAATCCAGGTATGTATCCTCATTTCTGCCATGGGCCAAAAGGCCTAAATTGCAAATCTTTGTTGCTGTAGGTAAGAATGACTCTTTCTCTTTTTATCCCCCAATGCCCTGATCCATACAAAAGCTTCTCATATACAAAAGCCTGAGGTTATATAAAAAGGGGGTGAAAACAGATGACTGAGTTGTGAGAGAAATGCAACTAGTACAGACAGGCAGATTGTATTTTGCAGAAGCGTTTATCCTAAAAAATTACAGATGGAAGCTGCTTTAACTGTAGAAGGGCAGAGGAGATGATAATCTTTGAACCATCAAGGACATTCAAAGAAAGCTATAAAAGATAAAGGTTCCCCTCGCACATATGTGCTAGTTGTTTCCGACTGTAAGGGGCGGTGCTCCTCTCCGTTTCAAAGCCGAAGAGCCAGCGCTGTCCGAAGACGTCTCCGTGGTCATGTGGCCGGCATGACTAAATGCCAAAGGCACATGGGACACTTACCTTCCCACCAAATACAATTTTCTACTTGTATTTTTACATGCTTTTGAACTGCTAGGTCAGCAGAAGCTGGGACAAGTAACGGGAGCTCACTCCGTTACGTGGCGCTAGGGATTCAAACTGCTGAACTGCCAACCTTTCTGATCGACAAGCTCAGCGTCTTAGCCCCTGAGCCACCACGTCCCTAAAAAGAAAGTTATAGAAAAATGGAAAAAGCCTCATCGGACCAATTTTGTTTCATGATCAAGGGCATTTTTTAATATTGTGAGCTGCCTAGAGTTAACCCATGGTAAGAAGGGCAGCCAATGAATGTAATAAATAAATAAAATAAGTAAATCTCCACTGGTACTGTTGAAGGAACCTCATTTAGGGAAAGTCATGCACAGAAGCTAAAAATGTTCTCCTGAGAAACTTGTCATAAATGGAATATTTTGAAGCTAGCTATACTGTACTGAAATGATAGGAGAAATTAATTAAAATTAAAAAGTGATACCATAAAGTACTTCCTTTGAGAAGCAGTTCTATGACCTTAGTTTTCCTGCCAGACTGTGGAAAGTATCTTTGCAAATCAATGCATATTGAGTGTGTCTTAAAACTGATACTTTTGTCACTGTGATTTCACAATCTGTCTAGAAAAGTTTGGAAAAATGCTTTGTTTCCAACTGCGATCCCAGAAGACCTCATATTGCCTTGGGTATTTTATAGTCTGTTCCAAAATCAGAGGAACAAAATCTAAAATGTATGTATTCTGTGGTCAGACCTTTGGACAGGAATATTATCTGAGTGAAGCA